TCAGGTTCGGTTACTGTGGCGGAAGTATTTCATGGGCGCTGCTGTGTCCTCCCAGCAGGAGGCACATCACGTTTGGTGGAGTCTTTGGTGTGTGTGTAAGGACAGCAGCATCTTTCCCATCTCGTTGGCCAAGCGATGGATGTCACATGACCACATGGGCCAGGGAATGTATGTGATTTACTCAGGAGGGCCTCCATGGGCACATAGTGAAATCATGGATGTGCGGTTCTATAACAAGGAGGAAATGGAGATCGGGAGACAATAATCCACTCTACCCCGGGTGACAGTGTGGTTTTTATCAAATGCATTTTTCGGAAATGACTCTCTGAGTCGCAGAGAAGTTAAGTAACTTGCCCAAGGTCACACAGCTGGCAAGCGAGGGATCCAAGATTTGAACCCAGGCAGGCAGGCACCAGTGCCCTGGATGGTAATACTACAGGGGAAATACCTGATGGGGTTGTCGTGATGTTCTAGTAAGAGCAGGAATGCGAAGGGCTTAGTACGGCACTTGGCCCAGGAGCGGTGCATGATACTTCTGACCCGTGCTGTTTATTTCCATCATCTAATTCCAGGTTAGTCTTGGCTCGAGGTTGGAGGGATTTTCTGCCCCTGGCAGCATTCCAGGAATGCCAGCTGGCCTTTATAAACCCATATGATTAGGAGTCAGAGTCCGGGGAAGGGAGAGTGGAGAGAGAATCAGACCACAAGAGGTAGCCATAAAGAGGTTAGGAGCAGGGGCGCCTGGGTGGCTCAGTCGGTTGAGCATCTGCCTTCGGCTCGGGTCATGATCTCGGGGTTCTGGGATCAAGCCCCGCATCGGGCTCCCTGCTTAGCGGGGAGCCTGCTTCTCCCTCTCCCTCTGCTGCTCCCCCCTACGTACGCGCTTGCTCTCTCTCTCTGTGTCAAATAAATAAAACCTTAAAAAAAAAAAAAAAAAGAGGTTAGAAGCAACTCCCGCCTGTCTCCAGCAGCAGGGAGGGTGAACATAGGGAGGTGAACACCAGGGGTAAAATGTCTGAGCAGATGTACAGGAGAGAGTGGCCAGAGATCCTGACTTATCAGATTTGGGTGTGTGCACAGTTCTGGGGACCCTATCCCCCTGTTCCTTCTCTGGTATCTCAAAGCTCAAGACTCCACCCTCCCCCCCACCCTGGGGCTGCTCCTAGGCAGAGCTCCAAGATGGTCTTATGAGGAGTGTGGCTGATATTCCCCCTGCCAAATGGCCACAGGAATATTTTGAGTCCCACGCGCTCTTCCTTGTGCAAGCTTGCCCCTATCCATCAGGAAGTGGAGTCTCTTCCTCCCCTGGAAGCTGGGCAGGACCTCGTGACTGACTTGAGAAAGGGGCATGGAGGTGACACTGCATGGCTTCCAGGTGTAGGTCATAAAGGAGACACGGTTCCTGCCTGTTCCCTCGATAGATCTTCCTCCCTCCCTCCCTCCTGGGGCCCCAGCTGCCATGATGTGGGAAAGCCCAAGCGACCACGTGGAAAGGTCGCTTGCGGAGGTTCCAGCCACAGCCCACAGGTGAGGTCCCAGCTGAGAGCAGCAACAACAAGCAGGTGAGTGGGGGAGCTGCAGATCATGCCAGCCCACTGCCTTTGAGCAGCCCCTGCTGATGCCAGTTGGGTGGAGGTGAGCTGTCTGCGCAGAGCCCTGCCCAGATGGCAATTCATGAGCAAAATAAATCTCTCCATGGGATGGTTTGTTTTGTAAACGAGAGAGCTTCCAATTCTTTCCCACCTGAAGGGAACGAGGACTTCATTCAAACCTAACCCAGATGTCATGTCCCTGTTCAAAAGCCTCCCATGCTCCCATCACCCTCTGAGTGAAAGCCAAGGTCCACACGTAACCTAAAAACCCATCCTACATGATCTTCCCATACTGCTGTCCACCTCATACCCCACACCACCTTTTCTGACCTCATCTCCCACTCTCCCCATCCATCCCTCTGCTCTAGCCACACTGGTCTCCTTGCTGATCCCTGAACTTATGGGCCAGTCCAACCTCAGGACCTTTGCACTTGCTGTTTCTTCGTTTAGCACACTCTTCTCCCAGAAATCCATGGGGTTTCCCCCGTCCTCATCTTCAAGTCTTTGCTCAGATGTCACCTTCTCATTAAGCTCTTCCACAACCAAACCATTTAATATTATAGCTCCCACTGCCAAAAATCACTACGCCCTCCATTCTCTGGGTTATATCTTTCTATAGTACTTGTTATAATGTGCTGTATATTTCACTTACGTTTCTGTGTATAGTCATTTTGCCCAAATAGAGTGTAAGTTCCATGAAGGCAGGTCAGGGATCTTAACCTGTCTTGTTCACCACCGTATCCCCAGTGCCTACAACAGCTCCTCCTGTATATTTAGCACTCTGTCCCCTGAGTCCTTCGGCCTATCTATCAATATTTGTTTGCTCTTCAGATTTTTCTCTTTTGAGATAAAACTTACATATAACAAGATGCACAAATCTTAAGAGTACAATTTGCTGAGTTTTGACAAATGCATATACCTTTGTAACCCAAAATCTGTCAAGATAAGGAACCACTGTCCTGATTTTTTTTTTCCCACCTGCGATCAGCCTGGCCCATTCTGGAACTTAATGTAATTGAAATCACATAGCATACTTCCTTTTGTGTCTGGCTTCTTTCATTCAGCGTAATGATCTTGAGATTCATCCATGTCGGATGTGTATCAATAGTTCATCCTTTTTCTTGCCGAACAGTGTTCACCATATGGGTATACCACAGTTTGTTATTCATATTGATATATTGATGATGTGTTGATATGTGAACCTCAATATCTCTTCAATCCATCTCCTCTCCTTCACCCCCCATGGCTCCTGCCCTGGCCCCGGTCTTCTTTATACCCAGCCTCCTTCCTGTTCTCTGACCTCCTGTCTCACCCCACCATCCGCTCTCCACAGAGCAACCAGAGGAATCTTTATAAGGCACACATTGTGTTCCTGTCCTGCTCAAAACTCTGCCATGGCTCCCTAGTGCCCTCAGGAGATCGCCCAGTCTTCTTCAATGCCTTTCAGACCTGCTTCTATCTCACCTGCATGCACCACTCCAGCATCACCTCCCACCTCTTCTCTTTACGCTCCAGGTTGCAGGCAGTCTCCTTCTCAGGTCCCTCATGGTACCAAGCTCTCTTGCCTCCGCACCATTATATTCTCTTCCCTCTGTCCAGAGTACTTTTCCCTAGCCCTCTCTTTACCTTCCTAACTGCTATTCATCCTATTCATTCAGATGTCTCCTCCTTAGGAAACCTTCTTGAGAGGCTGGGTGAGACACCTCCACAGAGCTCCCATGGTCCCTGGTGGCTCAGATCACTCTACATTTTAATAACAAAAAGGTCTCTGCTAAACTTCCGTTCCAGGAACAAACCTTGTTTCTCAAGACAAACAAGAACACATCCATTCAGCAAAAATGGGAAACCATTTCAATGAACACATTTCCCCTATTGCCTTAGCTGCCAGGAAGCACCGAGTGAAGCTTCATGCTCACCTAGATCATAGATGCCTGGTGCATCCATACGTATTTGTAAATTCTGTTTTGATGTGTGTTTAACAAGTGCCAGTTTTCCTTGGGTCCTGTAGATCCTCACATTGGCTCTCTGCTGTGTCTTGCATAGCCCCTACTTCTTCGTGTAGGATACTGCTTCCCCTGCAGCCCTTTCTAATTTAGGCCTCTTGTTTTCTCATACTCCACATGCCTCCACACTGGAGCGTGGGAGATATTTTCTCTGTTTATCAAGATTCTTTCTTTTTGGGTGAAAGCAGCTAAAATCAATTCACACCAATCTAAGCACAAAGTAAATGAATAAAGTAATATTTAACAACAACAGCAACAGCCAAAAAATCCCATAATGGTTCTGAGATTAAAGTGGAGTTCATGTACGGCTGGATCCAGGTACCCAAGTGCTGATGTCAGAACTGTCTTTCACAAATTTTCATTTCTGCTTTCTTCTGTATAAACTTTCATCTCATAAAGCCTCTTCTTTCCTGGTGACCAGCTCACCTCCCACCAGCTGGGCAACTCCAGTAGAAATAAAGAACCTTTTTCTTTAGTTGCAGCAAATGTCTCAGGGTTGGTTCTCACTGGCCAGGTTAGGTCACATGTCTTCCCTGAACCAATTACTGTGACCAAGGAAACAGAATAAACTGATTGGCTAGGTTTGGATCCTGTGTCTCTGGAGCTGGTGAGGGGAGGGTTATGGCCAGCCCTATTCAAATTTAATAGAGTGAGAGCAGAAAGAAGTGGTTCCCCACAAGAAAGCTGAGTGAGGGCAAAGCTGGGGAGGGCAAATCCTACAAACTTTGGCTATAGTATCCTTTTCCCTGTCCAAAGCTTCATCCAGAATACCGGTCCCTTGTGGATTAGTAAACCGCCCCCTACACACACACACACACACACACACACACACACACACAAAATACCGGTCCCCTGTGGATTAGTAAACCGTCCCCTACACACACACACACACACGTGTACACACACTTCCCTAGCCAATCCTAATGCTTTAGCCACTCCTTGGTGACCTTGTACCTCTCTCTTCTTACTTCACTAGTAGAAAGATACCATTTCTCTGCTCTTTTAAAAAGTGGGTGTGTTTGGGTTTTACATATTTACTTGACATAAACGTAATCATTCAACAGTGGGAACTTGAAAAGGGAGGGAGGGAGGCAAGGAGGTGGGGCTGGGGTACAAAGGGTGGCAGACTGGAGGAGCGGGGTGAGGTGGGGGTACTGGCTGCAGGGATGGGGCAGAGGGGCTGCGGACAGAGAGGGAATGGTGGAGTACAAAGGGGGAGGGATTGTAGAGCTGCGGTGGGGGTGGCGAGAAGCGGGGGTTCTCAGTGGATAAGGAGGAGGAGATGGAAGAAGCAGAGCTGGGCGACTTGCAGGGGGTGGGACTGGTGGTCTGAGGGGCCCAACCGGGGGTGGGGGAAAGGGAGGGGTGGGCCGGGGCCGAGGGTTAGAGGGTGCGGTGTCAGGTCAGAGTGAACTGCGTGGTTCGGGAGAGGGCTGGTGTCGGAACTTAGCGAGACAGGCTGGGCCAGGAGGCGCGTCCCGCGGACCTTGCGGGTGACACCGCCGAGGAAGCCCGCGGCTAGGGGTGTGGCTAGGGGGCGGTGTACGCCGCGGTGTCCCCCCACTCCGGGAGTTCCAGGTCTTCGCCTCTGGTCCCGCCTCTTTCTCGGAAGTGGCACACCCGTCGTCCAACCGGAGCCGCGGGCCGGGCGCGGCGCAGCCAACGGCGCGGCGGGGGGCGGAGCTGGGGAGGGGGCTCGCTGGGCCAGGGGAGGGGGCTAGGGGCCTCGAAGGGCTCCGGAGCGGCGACGGCGAGCCATGGCGCTGGGGCTACAGCGCGCAAGGTACTGGGGTTCGGGGCAGGAATGGTGGGAAGCGGGGGGCTCTCCTTCCAGCGACCCCCCCCGAGCCGGGTGGGGGATGCGCGGGTGCAAGCCGAGGACGCCCCGGGACGCGCGGTTGGAGGCACATCCCCGGCGCACCCTCCACCCTACGGGATTGCAGGCGAGGGGGATTTCCCCAAGTCCCCGGCTGCCCCGCCCCGCCCCTTTAGCCCGGAGTGACTTCAGGGTGGTGAACCCCAATTTCCTGCTGCTCCGGGTTCGCTTTCCCTCCTGGTTAGGGTCCGTACGGAATTGGGGGTGCTTGTGTTTGAGTAGTTCCCGGGCTTCTGCGGAAGGCGTTCTCCTTCCACGTATTGAACCTACTGGCCTCCGAATTCCCAGAATTGAGGTTGTTCCTTGCCACGGGACCCAGGGGATCCTAGGGTATATTGGATACCCCAAAACTAAGCCTTCCCAGATTCAGGGGGTCCCTTGAAATGGGAAGTCAGATTCTGAGTTCAAGAGCAGAGAGATCCCTTATAATTGGATGCTCCCTGACAGTCTCTCAAACGTTGGGTTCCTTAGAAATAAGGGGGGGGGTCCCCTTTCAGCAACTACCTGGGACCATTCCCAGAGACCTTTTTGTATCCTTTTGAAAGGTAGAGTCACCCCTTTTAATAACAGAGAAACAGCCTGACCTACTTCCCAAAGTCTAGCCCCTTATCTCCCTCTCCACCCCCACTCAGTGCCTGTGACTGTGGACAGGGGCACACCATCCAAGACTTATTTGGGGAGTCCCCCATGGAGGGTGCTGTGCCTGATTCAGTGCAAGCCTTGATGGGAGCACCCCCTGCCGAAGTGTTCAGCTGGGTCCTACTGGCCAGAGAGTAGGTTTCTGTGATCACTTCCATCTGCTGAGTGCTCTGGGTCCAATGCCAGGGGGTCTACCTGGTGATGTTTTCTTGGGACCCTGGAAAATCTTGCAGGCCCTTGGTTTCCCTTGTCCAATCTGAGGCATCCAGGAAGCCTCACCCCCTTCCCTCCTCCCTGGCTTCCCAGGTTTGATTGGGTCTGTCCACACCCCCATGTTTTTTAGTCCCCCCTCCCTTGCTCTTCCCCCCTTCAGTTCTATTCCAGTCTCTGGCTCTGGGCCTGACAGGGAACTCCATCCCACCCCTTCTGGGCCAGTCTCAGCCCAGCCCCTCCCAGCGCCCCCTCCTGGCTAGGTGGGGGCCCCTCTTGGCTGAGCTGGGGCGCTCCCCCCTCCCCACCAAGGCCAGCCCTTTCCTGTGGTGTCATCCCAGTGCTGTGCACCACCCACTCATAACTCGCACCCAGATCCTGGCCACGCTCCATCCCCTCCTGCACCCCTAGGATGGCCCTTGGGGGCCTTGGTGATGGTGAGTGGGCCCCCATACCTCCTCACCCCCTTCCCTTCTTCCAGCTCAGGCTTACTGCCATCCTACCCCGGGCAGGAATGTTCTTGGGAAGTCCCTGATGGGTATAAGCGCCCGGGTGCCCCCCAGATCTGAGGGTTCCCAGAGAAGATGGACTTTGGGTACAGGTACCCCACTGGATTACCATGTCCTTGGGAATGAGCAGAGGCAGAGGCAGAGAGACTCCTCCTGACTGACCCCACCCCAAGTCCTTTCTCAAACCCAAACCCTGCTTCTGGACAACCTAAGGCCCCATAGATCCTCTATACTTTCTTCAAGACCCCCACTACCCTCTCAGTGTCAGAAGAGAGATGGCCAAGAGCAGCCCTGAATGTGGTTCAGGGTCTTCCTACTTTCTCCTTGCCTTTGCTCTCTGGTGGCAGTTTCTTCAGAGGTGGGCTTCTCCCTCTCATGGTTGGGCGGGGCGGGGGTACTGGGCCCCAGCCCCCATTCCCAGGCCTCACTCTGGGGCCTCCAGACCCTGGCCCCGCCTTCTGTTCTCTGCTGGAACACAGAGGAAGGGTGGCAGGGTTCCAGCTGCACGTCCCAAGCTGGGCAGAGTGCCAGGGGGCTGGACCAGGGCTGGGCATGGGGCCAGCTGGGGAGGCTGGCCAGCTGGGGAAATCCGGAGGCAGCAGAGGTGGGACAAGGGGAAGGCATTGAGGCCACCGGGCAAAGGAGGGACAGGGCAGGGGCCCCTGGGGTGGACGTGCCCACCCAGGCATGCATTTAAGAGCAGAGGCCCTAAAGTCAGGTTCAGATCCCCGCTCATCACCTTCTTGGGTGTGTGGCCTTGGGCCAGTGACTGCCTCTCTGAGCCTCAGTGACATATCCTGGAAAATGGGGGGTCATACCTCCCCTCCCCTGCACCACATCAAAATAAGGAGCAGTGAGGGAACCGATCTTTAGGGGCAGGATACCCTACGGGTTGCAATAAACTGTGTTCAAGTCAGACAGTGTTCTGGGTAGAAGTAGATACACCATGGGACTCACTGAGATGGGTGGAACATAGTTGCCCTGGGGGGGGGGGCCCTGATTACCAGCTGGGTTACTTGGGCCAGTGATGCCATTGCTCAGAGCCTCGGGTTCAGGCCCTGTGAAAGGGAGACCACTTTTCCTGCTGCATCGGGCTGTTGAGAGGATTTAAGGGTGTCTCTAGCTCCTTGAGCACTCAGTACAGCAAAGCAATCATGATGATTACTCTCAGGATGCTTTGGTCTACTTCCAAGGCGCCTGTGTGAAGATCGTGTACACACACCACACCACGGGGTTACCACCAAAGCCCATGGGTCTCTCCAGTGCGCAGGAGACTCCGGAGCCTTCCATCCCTGATGTGGACAAAGAGGGAATAATAAAAAGTTTAGCCTTCTCATGGCACTTATCAATTGCCAGGCCTGTTTCAAGTCCTTGACATATATGAATTCATGTAATCTTTTAAAACAACCCTGTGGGGTCGTGTCGTTATGTTCAGGGAAGGCCTGCAATTTGTCCCAAAGTAACACAGCTCTTAAGCTGTGGAGTCGACACTGGAACCCTGCACCGGGCGAACTCATCCCTACTCAGTTTAACGAAAAAGGCCGGAGACCCAGGCTTCTCTGAAGCCAGGACTTCCTATCAGAAGAACATCCAGAGGTCAGACTGGGAGCTGGAAGGAGAGTCCCGTGCAGCCACCAACTGGCTCCTTCTATGGAGGGAGAAGTCAGCCACAGAGAGGATAGCTGAGCCCAGCTGCCCAGGAGGTGGGGGCCGGCCCCACCCCATTCCCCGCTCCCACTCCCTCTTCCCTCTGTCTGGGCCCCCGGCTCGGTGAGGCCCGCCCACCCCCACCCTCTGGGCAGGAAGACAAACAGGGCTGGAACAGAACAGGACAGGACGGAATGTCCTCTGGGCAGAGTAGGACTGGAGGGAGGCCCCTGCCTCCCACCAGCCAGGAGGGAGGGGATGGGGGTGACTGCTGGCTCCCTCCACCCCTCCAACCCAGCCTGCCCCCTTCTGTGCCTCCCACTGGTTGCATGGAGTTTTTTCCGTCTGCAGCCTGACAGAACAGTCCCCTCCCCTCTCCCCATCAGACCTGTGGGTGGGGCTGCAGGTCTCCTGCTTGGCGGCGAGGTTGATGCCATCCCCAGGAGTGGCCTCTGGTTTTTGGAAGGGACAGCCTCCCTTCCTAGAGTTCTGCTTCCCTGGGGTGGGTCACAAGGAAGGAATCAGAGAGAAGAAGGAAGGCTTTGGAACTGCACTGCCTGAGTTCAAATTCCGGCTCTGCCAGTTACTAGCTTTGTGACTTTTTGGGGAAAGGACTTTACCTTTCAGAGCCCCGGTGTCCCCTTTGTAAAGTGAAAATTTAAGGTGCGTCCTGGGATTGAATGAGTGCACATAGGCAGAGTATTTAGAACAGTGCCAGACCCATGCATGCTCAGCAAATCGTAACTGCTTATTAACGGTTTTATCAATATTATAAATATACAGAAGATTATGCATACCGTACTATATGTAATATACTCCAGTTGTTGTTTTTTTTTTCTCAAAACCTATGTTGTTTGGATTCAGACATTTAAGACAGTGAGAAGCACTAACCTGGAGATAAACCCAGGGCCAAAGAACAGAGAAAACTGAAGAGTTCAGGCAGACGACTGTTCAAACCTGCCTTCACTCCTTAGGAGCAAGCACTACAACCTCTCTGTGCCTTGGTTTCCTCATCTGTTCAATGGGGATAACGTTACTACCTTCTTTCTGGGGTTGTCTGAGCTCTTAGTGGGTTAATGTAAGTTACCCACTTGGCCCAGGGCACTGACGGAAAAAAGCTGGATAAGTGGCAGGTATTTCTGACAAAACAGTCCTCATCCTTCTACCCACCCCCCATCCCACATTTGAAGTGGATTAAAGGGTAGGGGTGAGTGGTTAGCTGTTGGCTCCAGCAACACTAGGGTTGGTTTGCTGTATGACATCGGCAGGGCCCCTGTTGGTGGGTGGTTGGACTTTGAGATCTGTGTTCTAAGATTCTGAGGATTCAGCTCAGCTGAGGAGGGAAAGGGCAGGAGAGGGGGTTCAGGGAGGCTGGAGGGCAGGGGGCCGGGAGGCTGCTGACATCTTCAGGTTCCCTCCCTTCCCTGGCTGGGGGCCAGCTCGGCCAGCCCCCTCCCAGCAGGAGGCCTCCCTGTCCCCCAGGCGTCCCAAGCCCGGGGAACAAACAGCAGATAAGTCAGGGAGGGGACAGCGGGCCCCGGGCACGCCTCAGAGAGCGAGGCGCTGGGGGCAGCCTGGGCTGGCGCAGGCACAGATAAAATCTGCGGCTAGGCGCTGCCCCGCAGTATAACCCTCGCAGGCCCAGAGAGCTCCGGGAACTCGCCCGGGCCACACAGCGAGCCCTGCACGGTCGCGGCCCTGCCCTCTGTGAGCCCGGGCCCCATGTGGCAGCGCCCCACGTGCATGTCCCATCCAACTCTTTCCCTTCCGGGGGCGCCGCCAGTGAACGCTGCCGATGCCCGCAGGTCGAGCACGGAGCTGCGCAAGGAGAAGTCCCGGGATGCGGCCCGCAGCCGGCGCAGCCAGGAGACCGAGGTGCTGTACCAGCTGGCGCACACGCTGCCCTTCGCTCGCGGGGTCAGCGCCCACCTGGACAAGGCCTCCATCATGCGCCTCACCATCAGCTACCTGCGCATGCACCGCCTCTGCGCCGCAGGTGAGCCCCGCCCCTGGGAAGTCCCACCTCGACGAGGCCCCGCCCCCTAACGTATTCCCGCCCCTTGGGAAGCCCCACCTCCTTCGAGGTGGAATTCTAAGGAGTAGGGAGGCCAGCTAACTCCCTTGGGTGCCTCAACCCTTAGGATTTGGTCCCCAGGGAGACCTTCTTGCAATAAATATCCCTGCGAGGCTTAGCTGCCCAATTTTTAATGACCACTTGAGAGAGTCCCCTCCCTAGCTCCCTAGGTCTGTCTCCCCTCCCCTCAGTGCCATCCTCTTGAATTCCCAGCCAGTTAGAATTCTACCCTGCAGGGGGCTTTCATACACACACACCCCTTGGAATCCCCGAGACCCTGAAAAGATTTTATTTACGAGGTCACCTGGGAGTCCCTGCTGCTTTAGAATTCTGCCCACCCCCACCCCCCATCTACAAGGTCCTGCCCCAAGAATTCTGAAATTCTGAACTCCTGGGAGGCTTGCCCCCCGCTTAGAATTCTGACTCTCTCTAGCTCCTGGCCCCTTAAATTTTGACCCCTGGGAATCCCATCCTTTTAGAAGTCTGTCCCCCTAGGAGGCCCACCCCCTTAGAATTTGATTCTCGTGGGAGACCCCCACCTCCTTAGAATTCTGTGCCCTTGGGAAGCCCTGCCCCCTGAGGATTATAATCATTGGTGGCCCTGCCCCCTTCCTTGGGACTCCCAAACCACTGGCATATGTTCTTGCTCACCTGGGGGCACCTGTAAGTTCTTCTGAGTGAGGGAAGGCAGAGGGAGGCTAGCCAGGGTGGCTCCGTGGCTGACTAGAGACACTCCATCCACCCTGATGCGGACACCAGGGGAGTGGAACCAGGTGGGAGCAGGGGGCGAAGCTCTGGATGCCTGCTACCTGAAGGCCCTGGAGGGCTTCGTCATGGTGCTCACTGCCGAGGGAGACATGGCTTACCTGTCGGAGAATGTCAGCAAACACCTGGGCCTCAGTCAGGTGAGAGGGGCTGTCTGCTTTGTGCCTGGCCCTGTGCAGGTGATGCCAGGATACAGAGGTGACTGAGACTGCCCTAGCCCTGCCTTTACAGGGCTCACGGCACAGAGGGGAGACAGATGTGTCACCAGCCAGGAAGATGCAGAAGGGTCAGGGCTGGGATGGGGCAGCCTAGGGGGCCCTGTGAGCCAGGGGAAGGGGGTTACCTGAGCCAGCCTCAGGGGGAGTCGAGGGCTTCCTGGAAAAGAAGACATCTGAGCCGAAACCTGAAGGACTTAGCCCGTCAGAAGTTATGGGGAACGGATGGGAACAGCGAAGACTGGGAATGTGCATGGCTGAGGGAACAGAATATGCAAAGACCCAGAGGTGAGAGAAAACAGAGCACTGGCGGGGAATAAAGATGTTTATCCTGGCTAAGTGCAGAGTGCAATGGGAAAGGTGAGAGAAAAAAATCTAGAGAGGTCAACAGAGCTAGATAATTTAGGGCCAAATTAGGTTTATTGCCAGGGCACTGGGGAACCGTGGATGGATTTTTATCAGGGGAGAGGCTGTGAGAGAGGCAGAATCAGATTTACCATTTGAAAAGCTCCCTCTTGGTGCCCACAGAGGTAGAGTTGGAGGGATAGGACTAGAGGCTGAGGGTCCATCCACAGGGAGGGGTACAGGGCCCTGGGTGGGAGAAGAGGAGTATGAGCAGCGGTCTGGCGACGGGAAGGCAGGAGACACAGGGGAGAACTGATTTCAGCGAATCCATACAGCATGCCCCACAGGAGAGTTATTGTTCTTTTTCCTATTTCACACAAATGGGCTCCATAGTTGGCATCTATTCCTTTCTCCTTCCTTGTTATCCCACTCCTGGTACCAGTTTCTCTGTTAGCTTGAGCTCTTCTTGGGTTCAGACAGGTGAATGTCCCAAGGCCCCAAAGCTAGGAAGTGGCAGAGCCAGGATTTGAATCCAGCTATAGAAGGTGCTGTCAGAGGAGAGAGATCCCTCTCCACTGGACTGTGAGCTGTAAGGGTCCCCTCCTGCCAGCACCATGCCCATTTCCTGAATTGAAACAACCTGCCGAATCTTTGGCTTGGCAAAGATTGGGATCTGAATGGGGTCTCACCTCAGGGCCTTTGCACTTGCTGTTCCCTCTTTCCAGAACACTCCAGAGAGCCACATGACCACCTCCCTGGCTTGGTTCAGCAATTTGTTTAAATATCACCTCAAGACACAGACTCTGACTACGGCCTCTAAGATAGCATGCCATCATTTCATGGCCTTATGCTAGTTTTCTTCCTAATACTTACCATTTTGTTTTATATCTGTGTTGTTTTGTTTTATTTGCTTCCTTATTGACCATCTGCCCTGCTAGCCAGTAAGCTCTGAGAGGCAGGGATTTTGTCTGTGTGGTCACAGCTCTGCCTACCCATCTGGAAGGGGGCCTGGCTATAGCAGGTGCTAAAGCGATGGTTGCTCAGTGAGCGTGTGAGTGAGTGAGTGAATGAATGAATGAATGAATGAACAAATGAATGAATGGACTAGTGAAGTAATCCAGGCTCGTGAATCAGGGCAGGGATGGTGAGGATGGGAAGGAGGACTCTGGTGAAAGTGCTCTGCCTCCCAGACACCCCCTGCTTCCCTCCCTGGCAGCTTGAGCTCATCGGACACAGTATCTTTGATTTCATCCATCCCTGTGACCAAGAGGAGCTCCAGGATGCCCTGACCCCCCAGCAAAGTGAGTTTCTCAGAGGCCTCTGACCCTGGTTATAGAAGCCGAGGCTCCACCCTCCTCTCAGCATATCCCCTCCTCCTCTGGACGACTGGACTGAGGAAGATGGAAGAGGGGACATGGCCCTGCCCTGGGGTATCTGGAGGAGCATTCCCTCCCCGTGGGGGTCCCTCCCCGGTTCCAGGTCTCAACCCTGGGGAATGAGGCTGGCGGGGCGCTGGAGGGAACTGGGCCCTGTCCAGAGCCTCCTGGTGACCTGCTCACCCCCCTCCCCGTGGCCCTCCCCAGGCCTGTCCAAAAAGAAGCTGGAGGCCCCCACCGAGCGGTGCTTCTCCTTGCGCATGAAGAGCACCCTCACCAGCCGCGGGCGCACCCTCAACCTCAAGGCGGCCACCTGGAAGGTGGGCAGGGCCTGGCCTGGAGGAGGGTAGAGGTTTCTCCTTCTCAGCTCCCAGTGGGGCCCCCAGAGACATACCTCCCAGCCCCATGGGAGCCCCAGGCCCACGTGCATCCCGCCTTGCCCCCCTCACCCCAACCAGGTGCTGCACTGCTCTGGACACATGAGGGCCTACAAGCCCCCTACACAGACTTCCCCAGCAGGGAGCCCCAACTCGGAGCCCCCCCTGCAATGCCTGGTGCTCATCTGTGAAGCCATCCCCCACCCGGGCAGCCTGGAGCCCCCACTAGGCCGGGGGGCCTTCCTCAGCCGCCACAGCCTGGACATGAAGTTCACCTACTGTGATGAGAGGTGGGCAGGAGCCCCGCTGCCCCCCCACCCCTCCACTGGCCCAGCTCCTCTTCCTTTCTGCCCAGGGTCCCTCACTGGTTCTTCTCCCACCCCCCGGTTCTCCCTCTGGTCCATCTCCGTCTCTCTCTGATGCCATCTATCTCTGTCTCTGTGGCTGTCCATCTTGGCATTCTCTGTGGGGCTTTTTACCTTGGGTTTTCTCCCTGTCCCCTTTGAGTCTTCATTACTCCCTCCCTGTCCTTCTGTTGCTTTCCTTAAATGAGTCAGTGCGCCTCAAGCAGTTAGCGCAGTGCCCAACATGGAAGGCAGCACTCAGCACACTGTCCTTACTCATCGCTCCCCATCCTTCCCTTTCTCTCTCCTTCTCTTCCTCCCTCTCCCCCTCTCTCCCTTCAGCCCTTCGTGTTCCTGCATCTTCCCTCCTTCCCTTGGCCTGGAGTCATGCTTGGGAATGGCAAGCCTGGGCTCCGTCAGCTTGGGTTTAAAGCCTGGCTGTGTACCCTTGGCCAGACGTGGGCACCTCTCTGCACCGTGCTCTCCTGGTCTGTCCTGTGGAGTGAAACCAGAACCTCCTTAGAGCAGTTGTTCTGAGCACCCAGCGCGTTGCCTGGTGCAGAACACTACAGAGGTGTGTTTTGAAAAAAAAAAATTTTTTTTTATTCAGTGGGGCTCGAACTCATGACCCCGAGATCAAGAGTCACATGCTCCACCGACTAAGCCAGCCAGGTGCCCCCAGAAGTGTATATTTTTTTCTTTTTTTTTTTTAATGTTTTATTTATTTATTCATGAAAGTCAGAGAGAGAGAGAGAGCGAGAGAGGCAGAGGCAGAGGGAGAAGCAGGCTCCCTGTCTATCAGGGAGCCCGATGTGGGACTCGATCCCAGGACCCTGGGATCATGACCTGAGCTGAAGGCAGACGCTTAACCATCTGAGCCACCCAGGCGCCCTAGAAGTGTATATTTTTAATCATTATCATCATTATTACGTCTTATTTTATTCATTGCTTCCTGTCTTTCTTTTTCTGGATTTCTTTCTTCCTTTCTCTTCCCTGCTCCTTTCCTCTCTTTCTTTTCTTTACTCTCCCCATCCCCGTCACCCCTGTCCCTTTCTTGCTGTGGCGGTAACAATCACCACAAGCCAAGGGGCTCGGCACAACACACGTTCACCATCTCACAGCTCTGGAGGCTCCTTGCCTTAAACACTTCTGGAATCTTCCTACATTCCTTGGTTTGGAGTGCCTTCCTCCATCTTCAAAGCCCATGGCCCTGCCATCTGCCAACAACAGAACAGAACAGAACCTGTGGTGCTCTCCGAATCCCTCTGTAAGGGCCCCTGTCGCCACAGGGGCCCCTCTGGCTTGTCCAGGTGAAGCTCCACATCTCAAGACCCTTCCCTTCATCAGCCCCGCAGAGTGCCCTTTGCCCTGTGAGGTCGCGGTAGTCACAGGTCCCCGGGATTAGGAGGCGGACCTCTCCGAGGGCCATTGTTCAGCCTATCACAGTCCCTTTTCTCTTTCTGACTCTCCCTTTCTCTCTGTTACAACCCTGTCCATCTCTGCCTTGCTGGCTTCATCCCCGTGTCCCCCAGCCCCACCCTCCACCTTAGCCAGTTGAACTGACCAGGCCCCACTGCACCCACCCCAGGATCGCGGAGGTCGCTGGCTACAGCCCCGATGACCTGATCGGCTGCTCCGCCTACGAGTACATTCACGCTCTGGACTCGGACGCTGTTGGCCAGAGCATCCACACCCGTACGTGAGACCTCCTGGCACTCTGAAACCAGCTCCCCAGCCCCCCATGCTCCAGGGAGCCTCCCCCCACACCCCGACACCAGCTCCCTGCTCCCCACGCCCCAAGGAACCTTCTCTTCCCTGGTCCCTCGTACCCAAGCCCCTGCCCCCAGCGCCTTCTCTCCCCATCTGCCCCTTCTATGGCCCTGACCCCTCCCCGTCCCCCTCCCCAGTGCTGAGCAAGGGCCAGGCAGTAACGGGGCAGTATCGCTTCCTGGCCCGGAGTGGTGGCTATCTGTGGACCCAGACTCAGGCCACAGTGGTGTCAGGGGGCCGGGGTCCCCAGTCTGAGAGTATCGTCTGCGTCCACTTCCTGATCAGGTAAGTGGGAGGGGGTGTGCGTGGGTCTGGTCTGCATGAGTGTGGTTCACTGAAATTGAAAAGTACTCTATATCCAAATTAAAGTAAGAAATCTAGCAGAATCATGGGGGCTTTTTTGCTTTTTAAAAATTGAAGTGTAATTTACATATAATAAATTCACTTCTTGCTCTACGGTACTCTGAGTTTTGACAAAGGCGTGGGATTGTGTAATCACTTCCACAATCAAGCTATAGAGAATCACCCAAAAATATTTTGTCATAGTGAATCCCACCTCCCCTAACCACCCCCACCCCCACCCCGAGTCCCTGGCAACCACCGAGCTGTTCTCTGACCCCTAGCATTTTGCCTTTTCCAGAATGTCATGTTCGTAGAATCCTGCAGGATGGAGCATTTTGAGTCTGGCTTCTTTCCCTTAGCATAATATATTTAAAATGGATCTCTGCTGTGTGTATCAGTTGCACCTTTTTAATGTTGAGTGGTGTTCTATGGTATGAATATGAACAGACCAGAGTTTGTTTATCCATTCGCCAGTTGGAGGACATTTGGGCTGGTTCCTATTTCGGGTGATTACGAAAAAAGCTACTGTAAACATTCTCATAGAAGATTTTGTGAGGTCATGTTTTTGTTTCCCTTGGGTAAACACCTAGGCATGGTCAGTGTATATTTAACTTCATAAGAAACTACCGGGTCATTTTCCCAAAAGGCTGCACCATTTTGCCTTCCTACCAGCAATGTGAGGGTTCCCGTTCTCCTGCATGGCTGCCAGCATTTTGTGTTGTCTGTTTTTGTCTTCTTTGCTTTTAATTTTAACCATTCTAATGGATGTGCAGTGGTAAATCACAGGCTGTCCTCCACTGCATTCAGCATATTAGAAGTTTTTCACCACGACAACATTGTGACAAGGGGCAGCAAATTAGCACAGAAAACAGAGAATTACAGCTTTTCTTTGAAAATTATCTTCCAGGACATGGTATCAATTTCTAAAGCCTTAGGTGTTTCCCTACGTCTTTTTGATCAAGGACAGGTTCTATTCGAAAACGGAAGTGGGGAGGGGAGCCTGGGTGGCTCCAGTCAGTTAAGCATCTGGCTCTTGATCTCAGCTCAGGTCTCGAGATCTCACAGTCGTCAGCGATGGGCTCCATGCTGGGTGTGGAACCTACTTAAAAAAAAAAAAAAAAAAGCGGGTAGCAGGAATATCCATAGTCTTTGTATTGCACAAGAAAACAAGACTGATCATCTGTGGAATGTTCTCATTTTAACACTCTTCCAAATCAGGGTCTGAATAACTTGTCCACGTAGCAAGAGGGGCCTCGCCATTGTCACTGTGAAGGAGAGGGGACCTGCCCCCGCATCTTCTGGAAACTCCTTTTATTAATTGTGAAGATTTGCCTTTCTATGGCCAGGCCCTGTGGTTTCAGTCTTCTGTACTCTAAGCAAAGAGCAGGCCGGAGAGTTCATTTTTATTGGCAGACATGGGTGAAGAAGGAATAGCTTACTTAATTCCAGTGAAATAAGGAGCATATGGTATTAATTGTCCTTGTTCTGTGTATGTTGTGTGGTGTGCAGTTGTGTGGCTATTTGTGTGTGCTCGGGTGCTTATACTTTGTAGTATAAAAACTCCTCCCCTGGGGCGCCTGGGTGGCTCAGCTGGTTAAGCGACTGCCTTCGGCTCAGGTCATGATCCTGGAGTCCCGGGATCGAGTCCCGCATCGGGCTCCCTGCGCGGCAGGGAGTCTGCTTCTCCCTCTCCCGCTCCCCGCTCTTGTGCTCTGTCTCTAAAATAAATAAATAAAATCTTAAAAAAAAAAAAATGGAAGAAAGGCTGAAAGTCGATGATTTAAGCCTCCAATTAAAAACAAAACAAAACAAAAAACCAGAAGGGCGCCTGGCTGGCTCAGTCAGTAGAGCATGTGACTCTTGATCTCCGGGTTGTGAGTTCAAGCCCCACATGGGGTGTAGAGATTACTTAAAAAAATAAAATCTTAAAAAGAAAAGAAAGAGGGGCGCCTGAGTGGCTCAGTCAGTTAAGCTTCTGCCTTTGGCTCAGCTCATGATCTCAGGGTCCTGGGATTGAGCCCCGCATCTGACTCCCTGCTCAGCGGGGAGTCTGCTTCTCCCTCTGACCCTTCTCTCTCTCATGTGTTCTCTCTCATTCTCTCTGTCTCAAATAAATAAATAAAATCTTAAAAAAAAAAAAAACAAAACTCCTCCCCTTCCAGACCTGAGCCTCCCTCCATTGCAGTGAGCAATCGCTTTATAAGAATAAAACTCGGGGCGCCTGGGTGGCTCAGTCGTTGAGCGTCTGCCTTCGGCTCAGGTCATGATCCCAGGGTCCTGGGATTGAGCCCCGTCTCGGGCTCCCTGCTCCGCGGGAAGCCTGCTTCTCCCTCTCCCACTGCCCCTGCTTGTGTTCCTGCTCTCGCTGTCTCTCTCTCTGTCAAATAAATAAAAAGATCTTAAAAAAAAAAAAAAAGAATAAAACTCATTTACACAGGGCACGGCTGAATCTTCAGCACCTAGAACAGCGCCTGGCACCTAATAGTTGTTCAATAAACAAGAATCGCAACTACTTACATAGAGCTCACCATTTGCCAGGCACAGTTCTATGCGTTTTATGTGTTTTAGCCCACTTAGGCCTCCTAATAACCTGGGGAGGAGGTTGTTTTATTTTTTTAGATTTTATTTACTTATTTATTTGAAAGAGAGAGCATGATCAGGGAGGAGGATTAGAGGGGGAGTAGTAGACTCTCTGATGAGCAGGGAGCCCGATGCAGGACTCGATCCCAGGACCCTGGGATCATGACCTGAGCTGAGGGCAGACGCTTAACCAACTGAGCCACCCAGGCGCCTGGGAGGAGGTATTATTTTATTCCTCCTCTTTACAGAGGAGGAAGCTGGGGCGCAGAAAGGTTCAGCCACAGGCTCGAGGTCACACAGCTTCTAAGTGGCACGACTGGGATTTGACCCCAGGCTGCTGGCTGTAGGTCCATTGCTCTTAGCCACCAGACAGTACTAGTTGTCTAGGACATGTTTATGGAATGAACGAATGAATGAACGAATGAGTGAACTTCATGTGCCGAATATGCGTGAGTGTGGGAATAGGGATTATGAGTGCACGTCTGTCTGTGTATACACTTGGATGTATATGAGTGCTCCTGTTTGTGCTTGCGTGAACCGTGCGTATACATGTGGGCCAGGTGCGTGCTTGCCTTTTTCAAAGGGGAAGGTGTGGCTTTGGTCCAGCCTAAACTGGGAGGTGTCCAGCCCAGAAGGGGTTTGGTGAGGGTGGGGAAGGGGCATAGCTTCTCAAAGAGCCAGTGGGAGGACCACCCAGGTGCCAGCCTGGGTATGGTTATGCAAATGAGATGCAAACGAGGGCCTGGTTTTCAGCCCCCTGGCCAATTCTCCAAAAGCCGATTGGGCTCAGAACATTTGGGTTGTCTCAGCAGCTAGAGACTGGGGAGAAGGTAGGCGCGGGGGCATAAGAAGGATATATTTATAAATCCATTCCCTTGAATATGAAAAATGTCTATGAATAGAAACTTCATAAATAAAATCTTATTCATTAAAATATATCCCTCTGAATTCTTCATATTTGGTAATGTAAGAATGTTAAATATATATACTTCATCAGTCATTTATAAGAGTATGTTTATAAGTAAATATAAAGAGAATATTTCGTTCTTACGCCTTTGACTCTCCCCTTCTCTGTGCCCCGTTCCCCCCACCCGTCTCCCCTCTCTATCCAAGCTGTGTTAAATGCCAACCTTTTTTTTTTTCTCCCCGTCTCCTTCCACAGAGAGAGCTTGGGAAGACACACATAACTTTATTTTAAATGCTATTATAATAAAAAGCATCCAACCAAAATTAAATCCGTAAAAGAAACAAGTAAATGTGGCAAATTATTTCCTGCACAATGCCCTCCTGCCCCTGAACAAGATCACCTCCTGTGATGGGACATCATCTAAGGGGGCTGCCTGGGCTGGGGCCTGAGGACGCTCCCTGACTTCCGCTCCCCTTTTTGCCCTATACCCCAGCCGGGTGGAAGAGACCGGAGTGGTGCTGTCCCTGGAGCAAACGGAGAGACACTCTCGCAGACCCATTCAGAGGGGCACCCCCTCCCAGAAGGATGCCCCTAATTCCAGGGACAGCTTTGGTATGGGGCAGGGCTGGGACTGGGAGGGGTTGTGGCCCCAGGACGCTTGAGGGAAAGCCCAGACACCTTAAGAATGGGGCTCACCAGGCCCTGTGTGACCTGACTCCCGCCTTCCCCTTCCTCCCCTGAATGGGGCTCACCAGGCCCTGTGTGACCTGACTCCCGCCTTCCTCCCCTTCTCACTCACTCTCTGAGCTCCCAGCTTCCTTAGTGCTGTCGGAATACTAGTCTCTCATGCCTCCAGGCCTATGCACTGCCAGCTTCCTCTGCCCAGAATGCTCTTCTCTCTTCTGTCCTTCCACTTATCCTCTGTCCCTGGGATGATTGCTTCAGTCTTGTTGCTCCTCTGCTCGGAATCCTGCTATGGCTCCTCATTGCCCCCACCCTTCAGCTGGTTCCCTGCTCCCACCTCACTGCTCACTGGCATCCAATAATCCTGATCCTCCTGAGTCTGGCTCCTTTCTCCCTCTTCCTTCTCTCCCACCTGACCCCCCCCCCCAATCCCGGAGGAGTTTCTCTTCCAGTTGGTTCTTCAAGGCCATCACCTTCTTCAAGCTGTTGCTGGCAGCCCATGCTCCTGGGTGTGGTGTGGGGTCACTGATATCCTTTCCTTTTCTGGCTCAAAACTCACCTCCAGGGACCTTAGAACCTCCTTGAGGGCCTGGGGCCAGTCTTTTCTCCTAATATGCAAGCCCCCCAGAGCGGAGTGGCTGATTGCTGCTCTGTGCCATTGGAGAATTGGGTCAGTCGTGTGCCTTGGTCTGGCCATGCTGATTTTAAATACTAAAACGTTTCCCCACCATTGGGCAGTTGCTACTCTGCCCAGCCTACTGTGTGCCCCCCGACCCCACACTGGCCCCTCTAGGACCCTCCAGATTCTCACCACAGTCTGGCAACTGGAGGGATAGAACCTGGTCCCACAAGGGTTGTCCAGAACTCAGCTCCCCAGCACTGTGAACAGCCTCCACCCTGACTGGTTATAGAAAATGTCAACGAGGCTCCCTGGGGTTGGTGGGGAGGGCTCTGCCCCTCAGCCCTGGATGACCATCCTGTGTCCTCCCCATCTGTGTGTCCCGTAGATGCCTCTGGTCCCCGGATCCTGGCCTTCCTGCACCCCCCCGCCCTGAGCGAGGCCACCCTGGCCGCTGACCCTCGCCGCTTCTGCAGCCCTGACCTGCGTCGCCTCCTGGCACCTATCCTGGATGGGACTTCAGGAGCTGCCACCCCCAACGCACCCCCAGCCACACGGCGCTCCCAAAGTCCTCTTCCAGTAAGCCATCCCTCCCAAGTAAACCCTCAGCATCCAGGCTGCTTTGGCCTTGGGCTTGAATCTTGCTATTCTCCGGGCCTCAGTTTCTCCCTCTGTGCAGTGGGAAGGTTGGGGTGAGATGGGGTTCCTTTAAGACCTAGATCCCAGATTCTTCAACTGTTATCTGGACCAAAACCTAGGTTATTTGGGACTGGCATGGGTGACCCCTCCCTCCTCCTCGCTTGTGACCCATCATCCAGGCTCTCAAAGAGTCAAGAATGTCTAATATTAGTCTTAAATGACAAAGACCAGGATTCAAATCCTGAATCTGCCACTTACCAGCTGGACACGTGGGCCCTCAGTGTCTTCATCTATAAAATTAGGATCATAGCAAGTAGCCATCTCATTGGTGTAAGTGAGGGTTCATTGTGATCATTCATGGGAAACACTTAGTAGACACCTGATACCTAGTAGGTGCTCAATATACCATAGCAGTTACTTTTTTTTCACTTGAGTTCAGATAGTGTGACTTGACTTGGGGGCCCATATTATCTGGTACTGACTCTCCTCATCCTTCCCCAGCCCCCCACACCTCCAAGATCTTCTCTCCACCAGAGAAATAAGACTGTGGCCTTTGACCTCACCTGTACACCTCGGAGAGTGGACTCTGCATCATTTTACCCAGACTCCAGACAGCAAGAGGGCCTGAATATCTTGGCCTCAGGCTTTGGTCTTTGAATCTTCGAGTTTTCCCTGTCAATCTATCCCTGGCCACTTCCACCTTCTGAACACCCAGGTCCAGAATTCACTGGCTTTTGCTGTTTGACCCCCTTGGTGTCCCAGCTATCTGACATTGAACCCTCATTTCTGCCCCTGAGCTCAGATGTCCACACTATCTTACTGTTAACATTTCCTAGACTCCAGATTTCCTTAAGTGTCTACTCTCTCCCCACAGGCCGATCTCCCAGATGAACCACTCATGAACGTGGAGAATACACACAAACTCTTGGCCTCGGGGAAAGACCTTGAGGCTGTGGAGACGGATCTAGATATAGCTCAGGTAAGGGCTGGCCTGGAAGGAACAGTCTTTATGTCTGTGCTCTGGGGGCTGACATATTTGAGCTTTAGAGAGGGTGGTAGCATGGTTGAGGGGACGAGTGGATGGATGGATAGAAAGGCCATTGTATTCTTTAGGTGGATGATGGTGGATAGATGGATGGGTGATAGTTAGACAGATAGATGGAGGGATGGATGGATGGACAACTGTATTCATTAGGTGATGATGGGGGATAGACGGATGGGTGATGGTTAGATATATGGATGGACAGGTGGCTTGCTGGACCATTATATTCATTAGGTGGAGGGTGGGGGATAGATGGATGGGTGACGGTTAGACGGATGGATGGATGGATGAATAATGGATGTTTGGATGGGTAGTTAGGCCACTGGTTCATTGGATAGATGATAGATGGATGGATAATGTTTGGATGATTGAGCGGCTAGATGAATGACAGTAACGTAGTAGTTATCTATTGCTCCATAAGAAATCACCCCCAAACCAAGCACCTTGAAACAACTAACATTTATCATGTCACACCATTTCTGAGATTCAGGAATCTGGGAGCAGTTCAGCTGGATGGTTTTTGCTGAGTCTCTTGTGAGGCTGAAGTCAAGCTCTCCATCAGGGGTACAGTCATGTGGGGCTAGAGGATCCATGTCCAAGCTCACACACATGGTTGTTGGCAGGCATCAGTCCCTCATTGGCTCTGGCTGGAGGCCTCAGTTCCTTACCACGTAGGCTCTCTGGCTTCCCTGAAGGCAAGGAACCCAAGAGATAATGAGAGTGAGCCCAGGACAGAAAATGCAGTCTTGTACAACCTAATCTCAGAAGCAACATACCATCACTTCACTGTATTGTATTGGTCATAGAGACCAACCCTGGTACAATGCAGAAGGCATCTGCATACACCAGAAGGCAAGGGTCATTGGGGCCCCCAATAATTCATGTCTCTGCCTCATGCAAAACACACTCACCCCCTCCCAAGTGCCCCAAATTCTCTTCCCATGACAGTATCAGCCTAATGTCTGGAACCTCATCACCTACATCGGGTCTGGGCGTGAAGCGCTCACTCTGTTGGCCCGTGAAACTAAAGAGACAAGTGATGTGCCACCAGCCACATGCCCCGCATACAGTGGTGGGACAGGCACAGAGTAAGGCCATGCATTCCCCTACTCAACTAGAGGGAGAGGACTGGCATGCCTACAGGTGTCACTGGTCCACAGCAGTTTTGAAATCCGGTTGGGCAACCATGGGAAGTTCCTTAATCAGAACTCATTCCTACTACTTCCTGGGGCCTCTCTCCATGGTTCTTGTCTCCACTGTCGAGACGCTGGACTCCTCACTTGGAGTCCTCCTTGCTTTTTCATAAAGGATAACGTGTATTTGCAGCTGAGAGGGTTTTCATGACCACCTTTCTCGTTAGGGAACTTTGGTGGCCCAAAGGTCTCTTTTCATTTAGTACCATCTCTGTCCCTTCCAGTCCAAGCTGCCAACATTTCTGTTTATATAATAATCTTAAAAAAAAAAAAAAGTGTGGGTCTTATGTGAATCCCTTCGGAGGTTACTCCTTTAGACAAAAGTCATGCCCACGATCTCTTTGAGATAAGCCCTTCTCTACTTTGGGCTTTTACTGAGATGCTGAGTGACAGTCCTCAGAAATTTAACAGAAGCCCCATTGTCTGATTGAGAGGATATGTGAGGCACATCCTTAAACTCCAAAGTGCCGTTGTCTGACTGAGGGATATTCCAGGCAACATCTTTGATCTTCCTTAACAAAGAATTTTATAGTCATACCCTGGGCTTCATGTTTAGACCATGCCCTCCCAAGAGTGCTCTTCTCTGCTCAGTTTTCGCATCCTTTGGCACCTGGGGAGTTCCCAGGGTCAGCCAAACCCAAGGTGAGGGCCGCAGTCCTCCTGTCTGCCAAGTCTGTCCAGGACTTCTAACATCAGCTGCAAGCTCGGGCTGAGAGGGGGGTGCCCAGGGCCACCCTCACTATAGACCAGCTGCCTACAAATTCAGAGATCCCCACTGACTCCCCCAGTCTCAATAATTTGCTAGAAGTAGCTCTAGAACTTAGGACAGCACTGGACTTATGATGATAGTTTTATTACTTCAAAAGAATATTATAGCCAAACGAAGAGATGTATAGGCTGGAATCTGGGACTGGGAGGGTCCCAAATGCAAAACTTTCATGACCCTGGGGACATGTCATGCTCCCAGCAGCACACGTGGCGTATTGCCACACCAGGAAGCTCACCCAAGTTGTGGTGTCCAGAGTTTTTTTTTTTTAAGATGTATTATTTATTTGAGAGAGAGAGAGTGTGTGAGCAGGGGGAGAGGCAGAGGGAGAGAATATCCAAGCAGACTCCTGCTGAACTCAGAGCCTGAAGTGGAGCTCAATCCCTGAGATCATAACCTGAGCCGAAACCAAGAGGCAGACACAACCCACTGAGCCAACCAGATGCCCCAGGTGTCCAGAGTTTTCACTGAAGGGTCATTATGTAGGCATGGCTGAATTATTGCCCATGCAGTTGGCCTTGATCTTCATCTCTACCTCCTCAACACACACGCTTCCCCTGGAGGTCAGGCTGATCTCACATGGCCCCAATCCTCTCGTCACATGGTTGGCTCTTAGGGCACGGCCAGCCCCCAGCCTGAGTCATCTTGTTGGCATATACTGTCAGATGTGGCCCCAGAGGCTCACCATGAGGAGCAAAGACACGCCTGTCACTCAGGAAATCCCAAGGAGCCGGGGCAAAGGCCGTACCTCGTTTTGGGTAAAGTTAATTCTTCATTTGAATGGCGAGGTTGAGCATCTTCCAGACCTTCAAGTCCCCAGCTCCTTCGTGTTCCACATTTCTCCTTCAGCTCCCCTCTCCACTTGCCTTTACTCCAAGTGGCAAGAAGAAATCAGGCAGCCGTTCAGCACTCGGGCTGGGAATCTCGTAGCTGGATCGCCCAGCTCACTAGTTACCTGTTCCAAGTTCCACAAAACTGCATGCGACACTAGAACTTTAGCCACCACACAACAAAAACGACCTTTCCTCAGACTTCTGGTCACGTGTTCCTCACCTCCCTTTATGCCCTCACGGGCCGGCTCCTCATGCTGCACATTTCCACTAATAGTTTGTTCAAGGCAGTCTAGGCTCCGACAGGCTCTCCAGAGCCCTTCTGGCCCCCACCCACTGCCCAGTGCCAAAGCCCAGTGCCAAAGCCCAGTGCCAAAGAGTGCAGCACCCCACCCTTGGGATCAAAATCCTAGCTGTCATTTGTTTGTGGGTAACAAATTCCCGTAAAATGGAAAATAACAAGCATGTACAACCTCACATAATTTCTGGGGATCAGGGGCCTGGGAGCCACTTAGCAGGGTGGCGTTTGCTCTGGGTCTCTCTCTCGAGGTTGCAATCAAGATGTCATCACCCAGGGCTGCCATCACTTGAAGGCTTGCAAGGGGCTAGAGGATGCGCTTCTAAGATCACTCGCTCGTCCGTTGGCAGGACGTCTCAGTTTCTTGCCATTTGAGCCTCTCTGTAGGGCTTCCCCCAGAGCACGTGACCCGAGAGAGTTTGCAGCAAAAACAGAAGCCACGGTATCTTTATAACCTAATGTTGGGAGTCCCACACTATCATCCCCTCAATATCCTATTGTTCCCAGCTCAACCCCAGTCACTGTAGTGGGGGATTACACTAGGGCTCAAACACCAAGAGATGAGGATCCTTGGGGGCCATCTTGGTGACTGGCTACCACAGAGTCCTTCCACCCATTTTACAGATGAGGAAAGTGAAGCTCAGACTCTTGACCTCGGGCACACAACTCAGAAGTGGTGGAGCTGGGAGTCCAGCTCAGGCCCACCTGAGGCTGAGGCCCTTGCTCTTAACCTCCTCCTGCCTCCCGCAGGACGTCGATGCTCTGGATCTGGAGATGCTGGCCCCCTACATCTCCATGGATGATGACTTCCAGCTCAACTCCAGCGAGCAGCTACCCAGGGCCTTCCACAGACCTCCAGGCGCTGTCCCCCGGCCCCGTGCTCGGAGCTTCCATGGCCTGTCGCCCCCAACCCCTGAGCCCTCCCTGCTGCCCCGCTGGGGGAGTGACCCCCGGCTGAGCTGCTCCAGCCCTTCCAGAGGGGACCCCTTGGCACCCTCCCCCATGGCTGGGGCTCGGAAGAGGTGAGCCACAGTAGAGGGAGGATATAAAGGGAGTGACCCCCCGTCTTGCTCTTGCCTCCTGCTCCAGCCCCATCCCTCATCATTCCTCCTGCTGACCTGCTGATCTCTGTTCCAGCCAGGCCACGTCCCCAGCCCATGCCATGTTTGTTCCAGCCTCCGGCTCTGCCTCGGCTGTGCCCCCTGGAGTGCCCTCCACTCTTCTCCTCGTTTATCCAAATCCCACCAGTCCACTAGGGCCCTCTCCTTTACGACATATTTATATCTGGCCTCGTCAGGATTTTTGTCACAGTTAAGAGAACATTGCAACAGTATCAAAGAAACTGTCTAGAACCAAGTTTCCTAACACCTTTGAGAATCTGTTGAAAGCTATGGACTCTTTCCCAAGAACATTTACACATACATACACACGCACAATTTTGCATATAATTTCAGAGGGTCCACGTCCTCCTTCCAGAGACATTAAATGACTAATACTCAAGCTTTTGCTCTCCATGTTGCAGGCATGGGCCCATTTAGTGTCCAGAACGGTTCCTTTACTATCCGTATGAGGTTTTATAGATACATCTCATTATTTCCCAAAGCTCTCAGCTTTGTGCTGGATATACAGTGGGTGCCTAATAAAGACTTACTGAATGAGGGAGGGAGGGAATTAATGAATATAGTAGGTGGATGGATGGATGGTGAGTGGGTGGGTGGTAGATGGATCACTGGATAGATGAAGGGGAAGAAGGATTGGTGGGTGGATGGAAGGATGGATGGATGGGTAGATGGGTAGATGGATGGGTGGGTGGATGGGTGGATAGATGGATGGATGGACAGATGGGTGGGTGGATGGACAGATGGATGGATGGATGGACGGGTGGACGGGTGGATGGATGATTGGTAGCTGGATGCATGGGTGGGTGGATAGATGGGTGGATGAATGGATGATGGATAGAAGGATGGGTAGATGTATGAGTAAAGGAATAAATAGGCACTTGGGAGAGTGAATGAGTGCCCACACGTGCTCAGGTTTGTTGTGTTCTGAGATTCTGACCTGTTTCCCTCCAGGACCCTGGCTCAGAGCTCAGAGGACGAAGCCGAGGGGGTGGAGCTGCTGGGAGTGAGACCCCCAAAACGGTCCCCCAGCCCAGAGCCCGAAAACTTCCTGCTGCCTCCCCTCAGCCTGGTATGTTGGGGGATTTGTGGGATTCTCTGGCCCTCAGAACCTAGTGGGCTTAAACCTACTGTTTTACGGGTGGGAAAATCAGAGGGGCAGGGGCTGGCTGAAGGTCAAATGGAAGGTCAGTCATCCAGGTGAGGCTATGACTCTGATTTGCTAGCTCAGGTCATGGGTATGAAAAGGCTCTGCAAATTTATGTAAGTTGGTGGTAAGTTCTAAGAAGAAAAATTAAGCAGGGTAAAGGGGGGAAATGACAAAGGTTAGTATGTATAGGAACTTCTCCTGTGGGCCTCCCTCCCAAACCTAGAACAGTTCTTGGCCTTGGATTATTAGTGTAGCATTAAGAGTATAGACACTGAAGTCAGACTGACCTGGGTTCAAGTCCCAGGTCTGCCACCTAGTAACTGCGAGACCTTGGGCAGGTGATGGGACCACCATGAACCTCAGTTTCCTCATCTGGGAAGTGGGATGGTTACATCTCACAGGACTCATGAGAAGCAAATGAAAATAGGCCGATCCTTAGTGGCTATCGATAAATAGTATAAAAACAACCAAGCAGGGGCGCCTGGGTGGCTCAGTTGGTTAAGCGACTGCCTTCAGCTCAGGTCATGATCCCAGGGTCCTGGGATCGAGTCCCGCATCAGGCTCCCTGCTCTGCGGGAAGCCTGCTTCTCCCTCTCCCACTCCCCCTGCTTGTGTTCCCTCTCTCACTGTGTCTCTCTGTCAAATAAATAAATAAAATCTTTAAAAAAAAAACAACAACAACAACAACCAAGCAAAGGCAACATCCCCCGTCCCCCTCCTTCCCCCACCTCCCTGCTTCCATCTTGCCCCTGCTGTCCTTTCAGCACAATGGCAACCAGGACGCCCTTTCCAAAACCTGGCCTAGGCTGCGCCCCTGCCACCAGGCCTCCCTCCAGGACCTTCCATGGCTCTCTGGCTCCTCACTCGGAGCAGGGCTGTTTGAACGCGAGAGGTGTGTGACGGTATCCACAGCTGATGGTTACTGAGTGCCCACCTTGCGGCAGACGCTGCACGAAATGCCTCGTGTGATTAAACTATTTCATCCCCACGACCACTCTTCAGATACTGTCGCTGTGATCGTTATTCTTCGCGGTCACATTTGCACACGAGAGGACAAGCAACTGCATGGGTCAGAGTCTGGGCAGGAAACAGCACGCTCACATGGGGGCATTGAGGAGCATTTAAAGGCAGGACCACTGGGGTGCCTGGGTGGCTCAGTCGTTAAGCGTCTGCCTTCAGCTCAGGTCATGATCCCGGGGTCCTGGGATCGAGCCCCGCGTCGGGCTCCCTGCTCCACGGGAAGCCTGCTTCTCCCTCTCCCACTCCCCCTGCTTGTGTTCCCTCTCTCGCTGTCTCTCTCTCTGTCAAATAAATTTAAAAAATCTTTAAAAATAAATAAATAGGGGTGCCTGGGTGGCTCAGTCGTTAAGCGTCTGCCTTCGGCCCAGGTCATGGTCCCAGGGTCCTGGGATCGAGCCCCGCGTCGGGCTCCCTGCTCCGCGGGACACCTGCTTCTCCCTCTCCCACTCCCCCTGCTTGTGTTCCCTCTCTCGCTGTCTCTCTCTCTGTCAAATAAATTTAAAAAATCTTTAAAAATAAATAAATAAAAGCAGGACTGGCAAAGGTGTGGGCAGCATACTGGGAATCAGCAAGAGGTGGCTCATCGCAGAGAAGCAGCTGGATCGAATAGCCCCGCTTCCTCCTCCCTCCTGCTGGCATCTCCTGTTTGGTGGACCCAGCAGGAGCACATGCAGCAAGGACTCCGTGATTCTGGAGCCCACATGCACGGTCCACCTGCTGGGGCACAGACGAAGGGCAGGACGAGGCTCAGGCGGGGACACACGGAGGAGATCTAGGACGCTCGCTTCACCCACAGTCAGATAGCCCGTAAGCGGCCGCTGGGCCCCGCCGGGCTCTGAACCACAACTGCACCGTTGTACCTCCTGGGACACTGACAGTGACGACGGTGGTGGTGGCAGCTTTGTCTTTCTCCTGCAGAGCTTCCTTCTGACAGGAGGGCCAGCCCCAGGGAGCCAGCAGGATGCCAGCACCCACCTCCTGGAACTGAATGAGCCCCTGCGTGAGTAGCACGGCCCTGCGTCCCTCTGTCCCCGAGCAGGTGCCCCAGATGGCCGAGAGAGGGGAGGGGTGGGGCAATCCAGAAGGTGGGAGGGGGCGCTGTCAGTGGCTGGACGTGACCTTGGTAAAGACAGACAGCCCTACCCTGCTCTCAGCGGCACTGAGGGGGGGAGAGAGAGGCCCCCAGGGAGGCAGGGGCTTGCCAAAGCTGCCCCTTGGGGTGGAAGCTGAGTCCAGGCCCAGGCTAGGCCTCCGGAAGCCTGTGTCTGATTACCATTTGGGCTTGCCCTTCCTTGGTCGTTCCCAGCTGTGTGGCTTTGGGAAAGACTTAGGACCTGTTACAATAGTTCTAACCTTAAGGAGATGTTTTCAGGATCTGTGGAGGGGCAGCACAGGAAAAGCTTATTAGCACAAGACCTGATTGGTAGTAAACGCTCGAGAAACGTCTGCCCTCACGCGAAGTTGGTGCTGCAGACCCTCCACGGAGCGAGACAACTGCTAGGCTTCTTTAGGTTACCGATCTCATCTTCCAGCACAATTGTCGGTCGCCAGAGCTCCACCCCAAACCTCCACGCATCAGCTAGGGGATCTTCCCAAAGCACAAATCTGACCCTGGCCTCCCTCTGCTCCCAACTCATCCATGGCTCCCTAGTGCCCTTCTGAGAAAGAGCAACCTCCTCACCTTGTGCTCCAATCTCTGCGGGGTCTGACCGCTGCCTCATCTCAGACCACACTTGGCTTCACATCCTCTGTTCCAGCCACGGTTACGGTCTTTTGGTTCATTCTGTCCTTTATACATGTAACAAAGATTTACTGAATGCAGAGTCAATACCAGGCACTGTCCTAGGAGCTGGAGACACAACTGTGAACAAAAACAGAAATCCCTGCTGTCACAGTGCTGATGTTCTAGCGGGGAACACAGTCCAGAATAAAGACACAAATACAAGAAGGGGCGCTAGAGAGGAAGATAAGTGCTTCTGGGAAAAAATAATGCATGCAAAGGGAAAGGGAACTCGGGGGTGGGGGGATTTCAGTTTTAAGTAGTACGATTAATAAGAGTGGTCTTATTGAGAAGGTGACATTTGAGCAAAGACCTGAAGGAAGTGAGGGAGTGAGCCGTGACAATTTCTGGGGGAGGAGCATTCCAGGCAGAGGGGACAACAAATGCAAATGTCCTGAGGTGGGAGTATATCTTAGTTGAGGAAAACAAGGCCAGGATAGCTGTAGCAGAGAGAAGGGGAGAAGGGGGGGGGCTAATTGCATGGGGACTCTGTAGGGCATTGTGCTGAACTTGAAGTAATCTCACTTGAGGAGACAGCCTCAGGACCTTTGCATATGCTGATCCTTCTGCCTGAATGCTTTTCCTTCTATTCTTCGCCTAATTACTGCATCCTTTAGATCTCAGATCAAATATTACACCTTCCATGAAGCCCTCCCTAACTTCCTAAGCTCATGGCTCATAACATCGTAGACCATATTTATGTGGGTGTTTATGTCATTATTTGATTTTTGGCTGTCCTTTCTCTGTGGGTGTGAGCCGTGTGAGGGCAGGGGCCAGGCTTGTCTTGTCACGGCCCTACTCTACTGTCTGTGAGGCAGGGCAGTGGCTGGACACAGAGCAGGGTCTCCGTACATATTTGTAAAGGAAGAGCTAATATTTATCTAGCACTCACTCTGTGCCAAGTTTTGTGCAAAACCTATCGTGTACATGACCGACGGACACCCCTCCCTGGCACTCAGGGCAGGGAGTTTCGTCTGTCCTGTTAACTGCTGGGTCCCGGGTGCCTGGCACACAGCAGGTGCTCAATAAATATTTTCTGACTGGGTAAATTCTCACGAGTGGGGTAGGTTTAAGTCTCCCTGTTTCCTGGGTAATAGCAGGAGCTCACTTAACTGAGCACTCACCAGTACTAATTATTGTTCAAAGCACTTTACATGGATTCACTCATTTCCTTCCCACACACAGTAGCCCTGGAAAGGAAGTATTGTTGGCTCGTTTTACATAACAGGTAGCCCAGGCACAGACAGGTGAAGTCACCTGCCTCAGGTCACACAGCAAGTAAAGAGCAGAGCCGGGGATTCAAACTCAGGCCGCATGTGGCTCCAGCCTTCTTAACTACTGCCTTACACATCCTGAGCACCTTGAGGTGCAGAGAATAGAACTTGCCCAAGATTTTACCACGATTTGAATCCAGGCACGCCTGCCTCACCACCCACGCTTTTAACTGTCAAGAGGGGAAGACGGGTTTGGGGAGTAATCCCCCACCTTCCATCTTCCCCCCACAGGCCTGGGCCCCTCGCTGCTCTCTCTCTACCCGGATGAGGACACCGCTGAGCCCAGGAGCCACTTCCAGCCAGCAGCAGGCTTGGCCCAGGCCAACTGAGCCAGCCCCCCTTCCCTTCTACTCCCCAGAAAGGACCTCAACCACACTCCACGCCGGCAGCCAACGCACAGGATGGGGGTACCAGGAGAGGGGTTCCCTCTCTCCTCTCAGCGGCGCCCCCCGCCCACCTTGGGCCTACCTCAGCCCTCACCCCTCTGCCCCCCACGTCTGGGGGCTCTTTGGGGTGGTCTCAGCTCAGTGACCTCTGGGAGGGGGGCCCCTGGAGCCCTCCTCCTCCTCCTCTCAGGACTTCCCTTGGGGTTCTCAATACTGGTGACCTCATCCCTCTCTCCAACTCTCCTGGCTTGATTTTGGGTGACCAGGGGTGGGGAAGGTTGGGGTTCAGATCTGTGTTTCTGGGCTCTGGGGAGTATTGATAACCATAATCACATTTCTTTTCCATCCATCTTTTATTATTATTTCTTTTTGTCGTTTTCGTGATAGGTTTTGAATTGCTATGAATGGCCTGGGGTCCATAGGAATGCAGGACTCTGATCCCCCCTCCTCCCTCAGGTGTTAATGGGGGGGGGTCTCGGGCAGACCTCACCCCTAGCAACTTGATTAGCCCCTTAGTCTTCCAAGTGGCCACCCCGCTCTGCCTGCCCCTCCACTGGGGACTTCCACTGCCCCCAGCCTCGCCTGGACACTGGTTTCATTTCCAGGGGTAGCCTCCAGCTTCCTCTGCTCCCAGACCAGGCAACCTTGGGCTCTCTATGGTTCTAGACCACACAACTTCTGACCTGCTGTTCTAGACTGCCCCGCCCCCAACACATCCTCTAAACCCCTCTGACTCCAGACCTCGCAAAGTCCAGCTTTCTCGTTCTGGACCTCCCCGGCTCCAGCACTGTCTCTTTTCATACCTCCACGGCCTCCCAAGTTATCTGGTTCTAGGTCTCCACGGCCTCCAAGTCCCTCAAGCTCCAGAGCCTACACCCACCAGCGTCCTCTCGTTCTAGAACTCACTCTGACGTCCTCTGGTTCTAGACCTTTCCTTGTAAATAAGTCTCCCTTGTAACAGATGTCACATGCTCCGATTCCTGCTGATTCCAGCTCTTACAACCAACAGCTGCCTCCGATTCTGGACCCCATGACCCAAGCTTCGTATTGGTTCTAGTCTTCCTGATCCGGAATACACCGGGCTCCAAATCCAGACTTCCTGATTTCTGAATCATTTTGGTGGTACGCTTCATGATGCCCAGCTCCTTCCTTTTCAACTTTCTACCCTCAAGACTTACTTTTCCCATCAAAAAGAAGTAAAATGAGTTTTAAGTCGATCTTATAACCATTATAGTACTTCCGGGGCAGACTCCATGCTCTAGGTCTCTCCTGCTCTAGACCTTGTGACCTCCACCATCCACTGGTTCGAGACCACCCAGCCTTTAGAACTTGCAGTTCCCAGGAGCCTTTGATTCCGTATCTGCTGATCTCACTTTTCTCTGGTTCTTGAATTTGGCTTCAAAGGTCTTCGGGTTCCAGACCTCACCCTATTGATTCCCTTGGTTCTAGGCCTCACAATCTCCAGTTTGCTCTCCAGATCTTATGACCCCAAATTACTCTAGATCTAGAACTTAGCCTTCAGACTTCTGATTATAGACCTTGCCTTTACCAGTTTTTCTGGTTCTAGACCCTACAATGCCCAGCTCCTGATTTTAGATCTTATGACTCCAAAATCCCTCTGGTTCTAGAACTCAGACCTCAGAGTTTTTTGAATTCTATTCTTACACTATAGATTCCTCTGGTTCTAGGCCTCACAGCCTTCAACTGTCTCTGATATCAGATCCAAATTCTTTTGGTTCAAGAACTCAGCCTCCAGGTGCTTCTGATTCTAGAATCTGGACGTCACCCTGTGGATTCCTCTGGTTCAGAATCTTAAGACCTCTGACTCTCTGATTCCAGACCCCACCCTCCTAATTCTATTCTGGGCTTCCTGCCCTACTCAGCTTGCCCCAATTCCTGCTCTGTCTGAAGTCTTCCCATTCCAGGTCCCTCCACTAGTGGACCTCATGCTCAAGCCTCGCCATCCTTGAGCTCATATCCCTACAGTTTCCCTGTTGTGGAACCCTCAGCTTTCCAGGGATGCACTTACCTTTACTTTACCCCAGGTACCTGGGGGGCCTGGGGCTCCCTTACAATCCAGGAGACTTCCCCAGCCGTGCAGACACACGCACAGCCCTATCTGCGTATCACGGGGTGGGGAGAGAGGCCAGGACTCCTTAATACTCCTGCCACCACCTGTGTGTCGCTCTTACCCTCCAACCCTGTTTCTACGATGGTGCTACTTTTGGGTCTCCCACACGAAAAGGCCCCCCCGCTCTCAGCCCAATTCACCCCCTTTTTGGAAGGCACTTCTCACTCTGTTTTGTCATGGGATGGCCTATCCAGATTGGTGCTATGGGGAAGAAGCGTCGGGTCCCTCCTTCCCTCAGGGGGTAACCTGGGCCCTCAATGGAGGGAACTGGGCTGGGTTGGGGAAGGGAAGGGACTGGCCCAGCCACTCTGGCTCTGAAACCCACTAATCTCTACGCCACCATAAAGACCTCGCCTTGGTAGGCACCAGAGCTCTGTGTGTTGACTCATCTTTGGGGTCGCCTCAGGGTGTGTGGGTACACTGGCTGTCCCCGTGTGGCTGTGATTCTGTCTGTACGTGTGACTCTGTGTTCCTGCATGGGTCTATGTAACATTGTGGGTCTGCTGATGTTGTAATTCTACATATGTGTCTTTGTGACGTAATTCTGTGACTCTGTGGGGGTGGGGAGTTGTAATTCCATCTACCTGTGTGTTAGTATCCGAGTGCAATGATCCTGCTTTATGTGTGTTTCTGGTGACTCCGGGTTTCTGTGTTCCTGAGTGTGGGAGGTTTTGTGGTGTTGAAATTGTGCTTACGGGCGCCTGGGTGGCTCAGATGGTTAAGCGTCTGCCTTCGGCTCAGGTCACGATCTCAGGGTTCTGGGATCGAGTCCCGCGTCGGGCTCCCTGCTCCTTGGGAGCCTGCTTCTCCCTCTGCCTCTCTCTCTGTCTCTCATGAATAAATAAATAAAATCTTTAAAAAAAAATTGTGCTTACACATATAGGAGTGTTTGACACCATCATTCTGTATACTGATATCTATGTGACATGGTTTTCTGTACTTGAGTGTATGTGTGAGAGAGATTGTGTGTCTACAGATTCATGGGCAGATGGGTGTGCCTGTTGTGTCCCATCTCTGTATATCATTCTTGTAACCCCTCTCCTATGTTCCATGTAGGAATCATTTTTTTGGTCATGTTTTCTTACTTTTTTTTTTTTAAAGATTTTTATTTTATTTATTTATTTGACAGAAAGAGACACAGCGAGAGAGGGAACACAAGCAGGGGGAGTGGGAGAGGGAGAAGCAGGCTTCCAGTGGAGCAGGGAGCCCGATGCGGGGCTCGATCCCAGGACCCTGGGATCATGACCTGAGCTGAAGGCAGACGCTTAACAACTGAGCCACCTAGGCGCCCATGTTTTCTTATTTTTAAGTAATCTCTATGCCCAACGGGGGCTTGAACTCATGACCCCAAGGTCAAGAGCCACATGCTCTACAGGGCCAGCCATGTGCCCCATCATGTAGGAATCTTTTCAAAGAAAGACAACACTTTCAAGCCTTGACACTTGTTGCCCCCTTGCCTTAAATGCCTTTCTCCCTTCCTCCTTCTTACTTGGTTATCTCCTACTCACACTTCAGATCTTGGTTCAGATACCCCCTCCTCCAGGAAGTCTTCCCTGCCCGCCCAGCAAGATGATGTCCCTCCTAAGACCTCCTGAGAGCCCCTCCCCTCACAGCTCTAGGTACTCAGTCCCACTCTGGATATTTATAATGGAGTAGATCCTAAAAAGTACTTACTCTGTGTTAGGCCCTCTGCCAAACACTTTATTCCTATGGTCTTATCAAACTTTCCTCTAATCATCTATAAGAGGCACAGTTATCGTCCCCATTTCAGAGGACGAAACTGAGATTCAGAGAGGATGATCACTTGCTAAGGTCACACAGCAGGGAAGGACTGAGCTGGATTCGAATCTGGGATTCAAATCCATTACAGCAGTTTTCCCATACACACTCCTAAAAATCTCAAAAATCTAACCCACAAGGTGGGCTATGGAGCATAGAGACAGTAGAGTAGGACTGAAGAGCACAGAATCAGGTGGGACAAGGTGAAGTCCTGGCTCTGCCACTCTCATTGTATGACCTTGGGCAAGTTTGTTGACCTCTACATCTCAGTGCCCTCAGTGGTAAAATGGAGCTGATACTAGTATCTACCTTCTAGGCTGATGGTTGGCTGTGACAGGAGGTGGTGGGATCAGGCTGCCAGGACGAGGAGACGGGGGAATGGGATAGCTCATGCTTCCAAGAGGGGAAGCCACAGCAGGGCCTTAAAGGATTTAGTGCTATAGTTCCACAGGAGTCCCAGCTGAGGGCTTGGGAAGGACGGCCTGCAAGGGTGTACGGTGGGAGGGTGGGGGGTGGGGTGGCATCTGGAGCTACCGCCTGAGGCTGTACTATTCAGGGTTTCCTAGGTCATTAGAAAGAGTTTAGGGTTTTTTTTTTTCCTAAGGGCACTGAGGCACCTTGGCAGGCTGGGGACTGGGGGATGAGGATGAAGAAAGGAGATGGTGTAACAAACTTCTGAGCCTTGCTCAGGACTAGGGGATCCAGGGCGCCTACAGTTAACAGCTAGAACCACTGACCTCAAGATTGGAACTTGATTCTCTTGGTTTGAGAAACCACGCATTTTTCAGGGGGGGGGGGGAACTGCCCCTAATTGCTCAAGGTCACACAAATAATTGCCAGGAGGTCTAGTCTCCCGGCTCTGGTTCTGCGCTGGGCCCGGGGCTGCCCTGCAACCATACCCACCCACCCGAAAAGCCGGGGCGGGGAAATCCCACCGTGGAAGCCCTTCTCCCCCTGCCCCCCCCCAACTTCTGCGGCCTTGGCACACGGTAACTTTGGGAGCGGGGGCCAGGCCAGACCTTCCTCCCCCTCGCCCCGCGCGCCCCCTTTCGCCCTCCCCATTGGCTCGTTCTAAGAAGGGCGCTGTCTAGGAGCCCTCTGGTCACCTTGTCCTCCGCGCGCTCTATCGCGAAAGGGCCCTGCGCACGCGCGCGAAGGGCGCCTTCGGGGCCCGCGCTTTACGACACTTGTGCAGCAGCGGCAGCAGCAACTCGGCACTCCTTCGCGACGATTCGGCCGGGTGCCCCTGGCGGCCGTTGCCAGGGTGGGGGTCGCTTTGCGGCATGGCGATGGCGGAGGGCGAGCGGACTGAGTGTGCTGAGCCCCCCCGGGACGAGCCCCCGGCTGATGGCGCTCTGAATCGGGCAGAGGAGCTCAAGACGCAGGCGAACGACTACTTCAAAGGTGAGCCCACCCCGGAGGGGACCAAGGGAGGGTGGAGAGCGGCCCAGGGCAAGGGGTGCCCGGCCCGCGCGGAACCATGGCAACGCGGAGCGGCAGCCTGGGCGCGGGGCAGACACTACCAAGTGACCCGGCGTGGGGAGGCCCAGGATGGCGCTACGAGGGGGCGACAGAAGGGGCTTCTGACGGAAGGGGCAATACCTAGTAGTGGCATTCGGAGCGGGTGCTACTGAGTGGGGAGACTGGAGAGGGCGCTACCAAGTGTGCGGCGGGAGGGGGACGGGAACGAGGGCATATCCATACGTGAGATCCTTGAGAGGTGCTAGTTATGGTGAGACCTGAAGAGGGCGCTGTCAAGTAGTGACGGGGCTGGGGAGTGATGGTGCTACCATATGGGGAGATCTGGGGTGGTGGCACCAGGTGGGGCGTGGGGGGCACTGTCCCAATAGAGTAGGGAATTGTAAGGGTGGGGAATAGATCATTAGGTGGGAGGGCAAGGAGATAGGAGATTTGGGGTTGCAGGAGGAAAAGGGATGCGTGGGAGGCCCTGGGAGTAAAGGTGGGAAATCCCAAGAATAGTATGACATTAAGATCTTGGGAAAGAGTAAGATGATGGGGCACTCATTCATTCACTAATTCAACATGTTTATTGAGCACCTGCTTTGTGCTAAGGCCTGTGCTAGACTCTGGGGATTTAGCAGTGAATGAGGCAGATGTGGCCCTGCCCTTTTATAGCATGTAATTTAGCAGGAAATCAGACGTTGGGTAAAAACACAAGAAATAATAAAATACTTAGAAGTTGTGAGGAATGCTTTGAAAACAACCCCCACAGGGTGTGAAGTAGAGAACAAGGGCTGGAGGCTACTTTAGAAAGCATGGCCAGGGAAGGCCTTACTGAGGAGAAGGCATTTATGTTGAAAAGAATCTCAAAGGAGTGTTCCAGGTGGGTGCAGCCACATGTACAAAGGCCCTGAGGTAGGAAATGAAAGGCTGGCGTGGCTGAAACTTTAGCAAGTTAGCGGGGAGACTGATACAAGATGAGTTTAGAACAGGGGCCAGACCAGATAGGGTTTTACAAGTCACTGCAAAGCTAGTTTGGATTTTACTCCAAGAGGAGACATTGAGTAGATAGATGGGCCAGTCTGGAGCTCCAGGGAGAATTTGGGCATGGTCAGCCTATGAATGGAATAGAACACCTGGGAATGGATGAGGTCATATAGGGAGAGAAGGGGCCAGAACCTTGAGGAATTTTAATGTTTAGAAAAGAAGGAGAAGAGGCTGAGGAGGAGTAGTCAGTGAAGTGGAAAGATGTCAGGAAAGGTGTCAGGAAAGATGAGAGAAGAGAGTGCTTCTAGAAGGAGAGGGCTGTGCCTTGGGTCGGGTGCTGCCAGGGTGAGCACTGAGCCTTGACTGTTGGATTTGACTCCACGAATGTTGGTGGTAGCCTTAACAAGAGCGGTTTGCAAGAGCAGTTTCTGGGGAATAATGAAGGTGGTAGTCAGCTAGGTAGTCACTCACCCAAAAGTGAACAGGAAGTGAGGAAGTAGAGACAGCAGATGTTGACAAAGTGGTTCGAGTATTTTGGTCCTAAAAGGGAGTGGAGAAACAGGGAGGGGGAGCTGCCTTTTTTTTTTTTTTTAAGGATGGATGAGTCCAAGAGTCTGGTCTGATAGCCAGAATTGATCCTGCAGGAGAGAAGGGAGACTTAACAGCAGCAAAGCCAGGAGAAGGGAGCAGGGGAGGAATCTAGAGCCTTTAGCGGCCTTCACTTGGCCTTTAGTGGGAGCACAAGGGGATTCAGAGTGGGAGCATTTGGTCGGGCTGCAGCCACAAGGAGGTAGGACCTGTGAGGGATGAGGCTGGAGGTGGAGCGTTGGAGGCCTGGTCAGGGAGTGTGGATGTCATCCTCAGGGTGGTGGGGAGGCATGGTAAGATCCCCCAGCTTCCTGGCTGGGATTGGATGCAAAGGCAGAGCTGGAGCCAGGAAGACTAGGATGGTGGACAGGTGAGGGATGGTGGCGTTGCTGACCAACTTAAGAAATGTTTCAGAGAGGAAATGAGGGCTGGAGAGAGGGAGGAGGGAATGTCAGGCAGAAAGAACAGGATGGCAAAGGCCTATCCTGGCAAAGAGGAGCAGAGCCTGGCACCGAGGAAGTGAGTGGGGCTGGAGTGTAAGAGGCAAGGGAGGAGCCTGAGCTTTCGGCTGGGGACCCTGGGGAGCCATGGATAGTTCTGAGAAAGGGAAGGACAGCGTCAGGTTTGTGCTTTAGCCAGACCCCTGCAGAGGAGCAGGACTGGAGGCTGGGAGAGCAGGGAGGAGGCTGGGGCAGGAACCTGGGCCGAACAGGATGAAGGCCAGACTGGGGCAGGGCGGGGCTGTAGGGATTGAAGTGGATGCATAAATCTGAGATGTTGGGGAGGCTGACTGGACAGAACATGGCCACTGCCTGGCGTTGGGGGGTTGAAGGGTCAGGAGAAGTGTCCAGGACAAGGCACAGTCTCCAGCTGGGGGATGGCAAGGAAGGTGGGGCTGTCCCTGAAATGGGGCTAGGAAAGAGCAGCAAGTACGAGGATTGATGCTGAGGCGAAGTAAGAATTCTGGGAAACAGTAAGCCATGGGGAGGGGCCCCCTGCTCCCCAGGACCTGGGCGCTCAGAAGCCCTGAGGCTGGGCAGGCAGCCAGAGGTGCTCGCTTCGAGCTGGCACAGAGGAGAAAGCTCCTCCTGGTCCAGGCCCCTTGCTGTCTGGCAGGCAGTGGCAGGCACAGAGCCCCAGCCTCGGGGGCTGTGGGAATAACAATAAAAAGAATAATTACAGCTCTCCTTAATTGAGCCCCTGTGGTGGCCAGGTACACCACTTTGCTCAATCTTCCCCCGCGGCACTGGGAGGTAGGTGGGAGCAGCCCTGTTTGTTTTATAGAGGAAGCTGAGGCTCAGAGAAGTGAAACCACTTGCCCAAGGTCAGAGTGTGAGCAGCAGAGCCCGGATATCCCCCTTCCTCGCCATGTGCTTGGCTCCCATGTTCAGAGTCCTTACCTGGAGCCTGCAGGGGGAAGAGGATAGCCCCCCTGCCAACACGGCTGGATCCCCTCTGTGAGCTCAGAGCACAGAGCCGATGTTGCTCTGCTCTCTTCCCCTCTCTCTGGTCCTCATCGTCCCCGCTTCTGTAAAATGGGAGGGGTTGTATTTAACCCCCAAAGAGTCCTCTGGGTCTAAGACTTTGTAGACATGGTTAAGATCTCAGGCTGCCTGGATCCAAATCTAGTTTCTTTCTCCTACATGCTGTGTGACCTCCGGGTAAATGACTTAACCTCTCTGTGCCTTTGTGTCCTCATCTCTAAAGTGGGGACTGTCTCGAGGGCTAGATGCACCCAATTTGTAAAGCAGATAGAACAGGGCCGGGATACGGTGTCGCTGGGTAGATGCGTGAAGTGCAGTCTGCTCGCATTTCCTCTGATTCTCCTCTTCTCTTCAGTTAGTCATGTATTCACTTCTTTTGCAAGTATCTGCTGATGGTTTTCTCTGCTGTGGCCACATTCCTTATGAAAGTTTATTTAGCCCTCACAGCTCGGCGAGGCAGGGCACGGCCAGTCGTGATTCCTGCATTTTCAGATGAGCCAGCGGAGATGCAGGGAGGGAAGGCTGTTTGCCTGAGGCCTCGTGGTCAGCATTCGTAGAGCCAGGTGTCAGGCTCGGAGACACCTGGCTCCAAACCCCAGGCCAAACGGCCACTTGAGCAGCACCTCAGCCGTCGAGAGAGCTGGCCAGCTGGCCTCTGGAACGTGGCCAGGAGGCTGGAGGTAGTCCTCGAAGGCACTGGCATTCCAGGGAGGGTCCGTCAGACTTAGGCTGTCTGATTCTGCCCTTGCTTGTTTCTGGGAAGTCCTGGGCCTGCCCTCTGGGGCTCCCAGTCCTGAAGAGACACACTCATCACCTAACGGCGACAAACCCGGAACGGGCAGGGCTGGGATAGGTGAGCCCAGAGGCTGGGGCAGCCCGAAGGAGTGCCTGACCCAGCCTGGGGGTCAAGGAGGGCTTCCTGAAAGAGGGGACATCGGAGCCATTTGAAAGATTGCCAGATATTAGGCTGCAGGAGGAATTGTTCTCTTGTTCCTGGCCATCTCCCCAGGACCTGACTTCTGCTTTTCCTAGTGTCAGTCTGTCTGCCTCTGTCTTCCTTCCTTCCTTTATTCATTGAAGAACTATTCATGAAGCCTGGAACCCTATTCTTCCATTTTCTTCACCTGACTCACTCTTGCTCAATCTTTCTCATCCTCCAGGTCTCCCACTGTGGCATCCTCTTGGTCTGTCCCTGTGCTGAACACTCTGGGTCATCAGTGTCTGGAGATGTGTGTGTGTGTGTATGTCCGTGTGTCCTACTGGACCGTGAGCCCCAGAAGGGCAGAACAGAGGGGGTGCTGTGTCTTCAGACAGGGCAGGGCTCAGAGAAGTAAGACAAACAGGGCCCCAGCCCTCACAGGGCTTAGGTTCAAATTGTGGAAATGGATTATAAGCAAACAAAACAAAGGTTTATCATGGTTTATACAATGGCACTGGAGAAAAGAGGTGGGAATTAGGGCAAGCAGTCCCATTTTAGGCCAAGTGCTAGGAGAAGGACCCTCAAACTCAAGTCCAGAGTGGGTACGTAAGTTGCCGAAAGACACCTGGCAAATAAGAGATGGAGCCGGGGATTGGGCCCAGGCCACCAGCCCTCATGCTAGGCTCCCTCTCAGGGGCCACCTGGCACAGAGTAAGAATGGGAGTGTTT